TTAAAGGAAACTACAGGCGGGGAGCTTAGGGTTTGGGGTTTAGAGTTTAGGGTTTGGGGTTTTAGGGTTTAGGGTTTAGGGTTTGGGGTTTGAGGTTTAGGGTTTGGGCTACAGGTGGGGAGTTTTGGGTATATAGGGCTTCTGAAAGGCTTCCATGAGGTATCTAGACCTTCTATAAGGCTCCTATAACGATAACTACCCACCTGAAAATGTCCTAGACTAAGACCCCAAACCCGAAACCCAAACCGCCGGGCTGTGTTTGCTGCGCCGCAGGTGCTTCCTAGTGTTCATAATATATATATATATATATAATAATAATAATAATAATAATAGTAATACTAATAATAATAATAATATATATATATATATATATATCCTGCATTACCTTAAGGACCCTAAACTATGGGAAATTATGGTATACCTCTTACTAATTATGGGTACTGCAAGATGTATATCATCAACCGCAGCATGCCAACAGACGGAGTCCTCTGTAACGGCATTCCCGCTAAACTTCATGGCTTTGCTGCTTCAAGAGAAAACCTTGAATGCCTACCTTAAAAGGGCTTGTAGTTTGGATCCTAGTCTTTCCGAGAAAAGGGAAATTAAGGATCGGAAAGCAGACTAGGGATCCTTATACTACTTGAAATAGAATTTAGGGTTTAGGGTTTAGGGTTTAGGGTTTAGGGTTTAGGGTTTAATAGAAAACCTGCATCAGCCAGTTCTGAAACCTATCCAAGCGCCGCCGAGCCCCAAGACTTTTAAGCCAAAGACCCCTCAGCGAAACAAACGACAAGCTCTTGTGGGTTTAGGGTTTAAGGTTTAGGGTTTAGAACGCCGACAGAACACTGAAAAACCTTGAAAAGGCCTTGCCAACCCTAAACCCTATCCCCCTAAATACCTGTAAATGCCTGTACACCCCTATATAAACCCAAAAAGACCCCCCAAAAAAACCCTAGACCCTTGTAAAGCCTAAACCCTAAACCCTAAACCCTAAACCCTAAACCCTAGACAGGTCGAGTTTGCTCGGAGTTTCCTCCTGGGACCAAAGGCTTCAAAAGAACTCCGAGAGCCCGACCTCTCCTGGCCGGCGGTGGATGAAGCTGGGCTCTCACAAGTTTAGGGGTTTAGGGGTTTAGGGTTTAGGGTTTAGGGTTTAGGGTTTAGGGTTTAGGGTTTAGGTAAGTTTAGGGGTTTAGGGGTTTAGGGTTTCGGTCTCAGTGACTTTGGGTTTAGGGGTTTTGGGGTTTAGGGGTTTAGGGTTTAGGGGTTTAGGGTTTGGGGTTTAGGGTTTAGGGTTTAGGGTTTCGGTTGGTGATATAACCCTGCAGTACCCAGAATGAGGAATAGACCATAGTTCTCATAGTTAAGGGGCCTTAAGGTAATGCAGGATTTATACCATCAACAGTATTACTAACTTTGGGCTGAGTAGGTAACCTTAAAAGGTTAACCTTTTTTGGGGCTAGGTTTCGAGTTTAGGATGCTGTACGCTTCGACCTTGTCGGTGCCTCCCCCACAATGCAACTTCTACTACCGCTGATGATAAACATCCTGCATTACCTTAAGGACCCTAAACTACGGGAATTATGGTATATTCCTTATTCTGGGTAATGCCGGATTTGTACCTTAATTGGGGTTATATGTGATTATAGGCATAGTTACCTTAATTAGAACCCTACCTACTAAGTCCCATGATCCTCCAAGTAGGGCTTAATATAGCATTGAATATGGGCATTTCAGAAACTAGGGTACCTCATTTGGGGGTTCGTATAATAAGGCCTACTACTTAGGGTTCTATGCCAGGGTCCCTTATGTTCTGAAACTCCCATATAGCATTGAATGAAGCTGGACTGTTCAAAAGGGTCTTACGGGGGTTTCTACATGGGCGGCTTCCAGAAGCGCTTCCTAGGGTTCAGGGGTTTTTAGGGCTTCAACTTAGAGGATCTTACAAGTAAGGCTCCTTAAAGGGGTCCTTAAAGGGATCTTTTTAAGGGTTCTTATAAGGATCCAGAGGCTATAGGGGTTTAGGGTTTTAAGGATCATGGGACTTAGTAACTAGGGTTATAGTTAAGGTAACTATACTTATAATTACTTATAACCTCAATTAAGGTACTTATAACCCTACTTACTAAGTCCCATGATCCTCCAAGTAGGGATTAGGATGTAGTAGTAGCGTAAGGTAAGTAACCTGTATTATAAATCTCTCTATTTACTTCTTGAGGGGCTACATACAGCCGAAGACTAAGAAAGCCTTTACAAGCTTCTACAAGGGCTTAGTCCAGCAGTGGATGAAGCTGGGTTCTTAACAAGGGTATCAGGGTTCAGGGTTTTGGAAGGTTCTGGAGGCTTTCGGGCTCCTTTGGCTTTTGGGCGTAGGCCATCGGGGATCTCGGATTGTAGAGTGTAAGGGTGGGAGGGACCTTGTTTGTGGCAGGTGAAGCCGAGCTTCGGATATGGAGAGCAGGCTGGCGAGACAGTCCTAATCTAACTCTAATTATACTAGCACATGCCCCCGAATCCCCATATAGCCTTGATCCCCTAAACCCTAAACCCTAAAGCCTAAACTCTTAACGTTAAGTTGCTACTTGCAATCTGAGGAGGCACATGTTAGCTGGGTTGCCAGCAAGCTGAAGGAGGCTGGCGACAAGCTGCGGGCAGCTGGATGTCCCTGAATTCTGGGCTCTTTAGGGTTTAGGGCTTAGGGTTTCAGGCGCCCTAAACCCTAGGGCTCTTTTTGGTTCAGGCTTTAGTGGTCAGGGTTTAGGGTTTAGGGTTTAGGGCCCTAAACCCTGTAAGATCTAGGGGTTTAGAGTAGAGGTTAGGGTATGGACTGAGGGTTCGGCGTTCTAGAAACTTCTGGGGTTCGTCTAGATGGGAGTTTCCGAAAATTAGGGTACCTTATTTTGGGGTCCTTTTAATAAGGATCCTACTATCTAGGGTACTATAGTAGGGTCCCCTATTTTCGGAAACCCCCAGATCAACATCTCCAAGATACCCAAAACGAAACAGTACGCTCAATGAGGTCCTACGGTTTAGGGTTCAGGGTTTAGTAGGGGCTCAAACACTACCGTCCTTAGGCATAAGGGTTCTTCACTATCACTCTACTATCATATGCCCCATGCCCTATTCTAGTTATTACGGCCGCCATATTGTGTCATGCGTTCAACACACCCGGGCTTTGCAGCGAAGACGCTGGCGCCGTGATTTTCCTGCTGGCACCCGGCGGAAATCAAAAAAGAGTGAGGTGGGGAGGGAAAAGTTATATGATAAAACGAGGACACCTACGAAGAATGTGGATAATTGCTCATGCTTCTGTATTCAGGTGGGTTGGGTGTCCTAAATCCGAATATAGGCATTTTCAGAGGGGGCCCTTTGCATAGGGACAGAGGTACTTGGAAGAGGGCTTTGGAGTATCTTAGACTACGTACAGGCATATAGGAACCATATGGGAACACTGTTGCTATTCAGAGAATCTTTTATTACATAGCTGCACAGCCCTTGCAGTGCCAGCCCCGGGTACAGCTTACATGAACCCTAAACCCTAAACCCTAAACCCATAAACCTAAACCCTAAACCTAAACCATCAAGAACATTGATTCCATTTTATCTTGGCGGGTATTTTTGGCTTCGAGTCAATTAGACAACTATTTAAGTAAGGTTAAAAGTACTTTAATGCGGGTTAGAAGTAGTTATAAGTATAGTTACCTTAGCTATAACCCTAGTTACTACGTCCCATGAACCTTTAAGTAAGTTTACTGCGGGCTGCTGGGCAATCTGTGGATGAGATAGCCAGGGTTTTTCGGAGTTGAAAGCGTGCCAAAACCCACATGATGCGGACTAAAAAGATTCACATCCACTTCATGGGTAGTTATCTAAACTAGGGTCCCTTTTAGGGTCCCTTTTGTTATTATTAACGGACATCAGTCGGTCGTTTTAGGGTCCCTTTTGTAAGGGTGCCGTATTATAAGGGGGACCTAAAGAGGGACCCTAAATTAGAGAACTACCCTCATGGCTCAGAGATGAATCGAAACTATCGGTGGATCTCTGGGCCATGAAGTGGATGTGAGTCTTGTTGCTTAAGGATGGTGCTCGCGTGTTCTGTAGCGATATGCTGATTTTGGCTCGTCGCTGCTGGCCTAGATTGGGTGTCATCCGGGATGATGCGATGCGGACCATGCCTGTATTCGCATTGCCTGAGCCAGGACCCGCTGGAGCTCACGTCTTATGCGGTGGCTTGTTGGCTCTAGCTTGCTGCCTTGGATACGCCGGTGTTGTTGCGAGATACTGTGGAGTATGTGCAGAGGGATGAGACACTCATAACCTGCATTGTCCGCGAGCTGATCAAAGTCGGTGTTGTTCGAGCCAACCGACTCTGATTGGGACCTGCATCTTGCGATGCTCGACCTGTGATGTGCGGTTTTCGGTGCAGACAACTTTGATGCGAAGGCAAGGATGAAACACTCAAAACCTGCGCTATCATCCTAGATGATGCGATGCGGACCATGCATGTATTCGTATTGCCTGAGCCAGGACACGCATGAACGTGTCGTGTCGTCGCAGCTGCTTGGTGCCCACGTCTTATGTGGGTAGTTGTCAAAATTAGGGTCCCTTTTGGGGTACCCTAAATAATAGGTGCCGTACTATAATAAGGACCCAAAAAGGGACCATAATTTTGACAACCACCCATGTGGTGGCTTGTTGGCTTTAGCTTGCTGCCTTGGATGCACCGGTGTTGTTGTGAGATACTGGAGTATGTGCACAGGGATGAGACACTCATAACTTGCATCATCAGCGAGCTGATGAAAGTCATAGCTGTGCTTGCGATCTGCATCTTGCGATGCTCGAGTGTTCCACGGAGGAGTGCTTGTTGACTTGAGCTTGTTGTTGTCCCTTGGCCTGTTGTGTGAAAGCTTTAGGTGCAGAGTGCTGCAATGCGAAGGCAAGGATGCAACATTCCAAGCCTGCGTTATCATCCGAGCTATCAAAGTCCTCGCGACGCACCCAGTATTGATTGATCTCTAGCCCGCTCAGAAGCTCGTCGCTGCGAAACTGCTGACACTAAACATGAAGTAAACCTTAGGAAGTCCACGTGCTGTAGCGCGAGACCATAAAACTACAAACCAACAAATGCTCAAACTGCAACCTGAATAACCCTAAGGGTCCAAGTACCCAAATAGTAGGGTTTCAAGGTCCAAAATCCATTCAGAGTATGTATTTTGGGACCTAAAACCTTACTATTTGGGTCCTCGGACCCTCTGGGTAACCTTAAAGCACAACTCTGGACAGCCCAATGCATATGCAAGGCATTCTGCTTTCTGGTTTAGGGTTTAGGGTTTCGGGTTTACAGCCTCGTCCCGTGGGTCTTAGGCCTCCGAGAAAAGGATGATATAGGGGTCGGGACAATTATTAACTGATGCTGCGCATATAGTCCCTATTCAGGTATGCTAAATATGCACCAAAACCAAAACCCCCTATTCTGATGAATAAGGCTACTGTATTAGACAGATCTGTCAATGTAGGGGCCTAAATAACTACCTATACTATTTTAGGAGGCTCCGTATTATAATTATAGTATAATGGGCCCCTAGTTTAATCATGAAAAGGCCCCTGTGTTAAAGCGCTTTCTGCGACGGGGTTGGCCTCTCGAGGCTGATATTGGTATCCAAACGAGGAACCTTCTATAATGATTCTATGGGTTTTTAAGTTACAGGATCCACTCTCCCACTCGCCCTCAAGCACCAGTGAGCCTTTAGTTAGAAAGCCCTCAAAAGAATCCCTACAATTTTAGGGTTTAGGGGTTTGGGGTTTAGAGGCTTAGGGTTTAGGGGTTTAGGGGTTTAGGGTGTAGGGCCTTTAATTGCTTAGAAAGCCCTCAAAGGAATCCCTACAGAACCTCAAACCCTGGAGTCCCTAAACCCTAAACTCCTAAAGCCCAAACC